CATTCAGGTTCAGCTGGCCTTAAGAACATCCAGCTGTATGACGATTAGCGGCAGAACTCATTGATTTTCAGAGAGAGATGGAGACTGGAGGCGACGTGAGTGACAGATGTGACAGAGTTTAACTTCATGCAAATCAGCTGATCCTGCAGTCGAGTAACTAGCAATAACACAGAGACCTCAGACGAGTTTATCAGTATGAACACATGCACAGCTGCTCAAAACGCTCAAACGCTCATTAATTATGAAAATTTAAAATAAGATCTATCTATCTATCTATCTATCTATCTATATCTAATTGAATTAAAATGATATAAACACAAAATGCATGTCAGTCAATTTACATCATACATAGTGTGTGTGTGTATATATATATATATATACACACACACACACATAAATATTATACATTTAGATAAAATATACTTGATGTTAATATAAATATAAGAATGAAGGTCTGGCCTGATTGTAGCGTGTCTGAAGCTCACGGTTTGTTAGTGAACACTGAGGAATCAGTGAGACTCGGTTCGGTGTGACTGTGATGAAGACGCAGCAGATCTGTGACTGATTTCAGTGTGGAGATCATGACAAACAGCCACCGCAGTGCAGGAGCTCACAAATCAGCATCTACACACACCCTAAACCCTGACGAGCGGCCCACGGCAGCCAGGCGTTAATCACACGCCAGAGGAGCGCATTAAAGAGCTGAACACCCGACTCTTATCAGGACTCCGGCCGCCGCAGAGCTGCAAACTTCCAGCTGAAGAGAGTCGAGCGGCGATAAGAGCTCGCGGCAGGTCGCACGATAAGAGTCAGAGCGGTGCATTATGGGAGAAGAGCGGCAGTGTGGAGGGTCATTAGGGCATCGGCGCTCGTGGTGGGCGGACGGGAAGATCGACTCTCACACTCGCGGTGTCTTGAGGAGCTAATTAACGCGACAGACTGTCTCACACACACACACACACACACACACACACTGACGCTTGCTGCTGCACAATGGTGCCCCATAGTTGTGTCCAATGTTTCTATATTTTTCATGTACATGTTATAATGGCTTTCTTTCATGCTGTAGACCACGAAATAGCAATTGATTTACAGTTTTCACAAAAACAAAATAAATTATAAAATGATAAACCTCACAATTGAGCCTTTAAACCAATTTTTAAGAATAGAGATGAGTCGGAAGTACAAATTCTGATATTAATTTAAAACGGGGTTATGTGGGTGGATTTTCGCATTGGTCTGAACAAAAACTGCAGACGGGATTATTAAAAATGCACATTCATTCTCTGCCAGCAGGAGGCGCTTTTGGAACATCAGAAATATAGCTGTTTCCCCGGTAACGGCTGTAAACAAAGCAGCGCTGCGCTCATAAACGCTACTTTATCAGATAAAATGAAAATCTTTTATTAACTCTTATATTTATATCATATAGTTTAACAATATCACACCAGCAAGAGTGCGGTTTATCACCAATATCTGCAGGATTGCAAAAGTGATGTTGATTTTATACATTCAATAAACAAGAAGTTAATATTGTGTTTTAGACATAATATTGTCTGCTTTTGATCAGTTTCGCAAATGAAAATAGATCCAATCAAAGTCACAGCAGAACTGATGTGTGTCTCTGATCAACACACAGAGGTGATTCGTTACTGAATGAATCCAAGGTTTTGAACGAATCGAGTAAGTTAGTGATTCACTCATAAAGACAGTCACTTGATTCGTTTCTGAATGAATCAGCTGTTTGAACGAATCAGTTGAATGAATAATTCAATGACTCACTCATTGAGACAGTGACTCAGCGAGTCATATTTAGAGTATAATTTCATTAAAAAAATCATATATTTCAAAATCCATTTTAGAAAAGAATCTAAAACATTTCTTTGTAATCTTTATATTTAATATAAATATTTGCTACTTTTTGTAATGTCTATTCAATGCATTTCTCATTTAATACAATAATGACTTTAAATGATTTTTTCAGTTGTAAATTCTCAGCCAAAATTAATGCGCGATTAATAAATGTGCAAAACAAACAGACATTTCTCTCTGTTTCACTCTGAAACGTGTGACATTATGGCAGTATAACAGAGCTGTGAGCTGGTTCATGTTAAGGCCAGGTAATAAGGTGTTTGTGTCTCTGTTCAGTGAGGATCAGGAGTGTCGGGTCAAATGGATGGCATCACACGGGCCCATGATGAAGTTCAGATCACACACAATAGCTCATCGTCGTCAGTGAATGAGAGACGGTAATGAGAGTCATGGGGGGGGCAGATGAGAAACAGCACAACAAAACACTGCGGAGCAGCTGGAGATTCAGTCTGATCTCAGAAACAGCTGAAAAAATCCCCCACACGCACATTAATGGAGGAACCCGGGCCACAGAGACTATCACTTTAATACCTAGCAACACCATAGCAACCACATAATGATTTGACATCCAGCTGCATCACAGTAGCAACTGCATAGGAACACTTTTGATACTCTCAAAAGACCTTAGCAACTGCATGGCAACACTAACAACAAACACTCTTTAAGGCGGTGAACTTTGTTAATACACAACTCCAGAACCACATAGCAACACCCTTGAAAATACCCAAAACACCATATCAACCACGTACCATCAAACACACCCTTAATAATGACTCAATACACCATAGTTACTGCATAGCAACACCCTCGAAACTGTCCTAAACATCATACCAAAAGCATAGCAACACACAAACAATGACTATGAACACCCTAGCATTTGCATAGCAACATCCTATAAACTGGCTTAAATACCATAGCAACCGTATAGCAACACACTTAACTAATAATGACTCAAAACACCATAGCAATCGCATAGCAACACCATTGGAACTGTCCAAAACATCATAGCAACTCTCTCTCTCTCTCTCTCTCTCACACACACACACACACACTAATAATGACAAAAAACACCATATCAACTGCATACCAACACCATTGAAACGGTTCAAAACATCATAGCAACTGCATAGCAACATCCTATAAACTGGCCTAAATACCATAGCAACCGTATAGCAACACACTTAACTAATAATGACTCAAAACATCATAGCAACTGCATAGCAACACCATTGAAACGGTTCAAAACATCATAGCAACTGTATAGCAACATCCTATAAACTGGCCTAAATACCATAGCAACCGTATAGCAACACACTTAACTAATAATGACTCAAAACACCATAGCAATTGCATAGCAACACCATTGGAACTGTCCAAAACATCATAGCAACTGCATAGCAACTCTCTCTCTCCCACACACACACACACACACACACACACACTTGCAAGAAAACACCATATCAACTGCATACCAACACCATTGAAACGGTTCAAAACATCATAGCAACTGCATAGCAACATCCTATAAACTGGCCTAAATACCATAGCAACCGTATAGCAACACACTTAACTAATAATGACTCAAAACACCATAGCAATTGCATAGCAACACCATTGGAACTGTCCAAAACATCATAGCAACTGCATAGCAACTCTCTCTCTCCCACACACACACACACACACACACACACTAATATTTGCAAGAAAACACCATATCAACTGCATAGCAACACCATTGAAACGGTTCAAACATTACTGCAACTGCATAGCAACACACACACACACACACACACACACTAATAATGACTCAAAACACCACAGCAACCGCAAAACTGCCTAAAATGCCATAGCAACATCCTGGCAACCACTCACAACACACTATGATCATGGTAGAGACTTTGTCATGTGTAATATTTAAACGCTGTCATTCAGCATCGGGCTGCATTCTGTCAGTAATTCACTCATCATGAGTGTTTCTCACAGAGAGAACAGGAGACATTCAGACAAACTGCAACGATGAGAAGTACACATCAGTATTTGATCATTTGAATGTGTGAAAGACTGCGTTACACTAAAACTCATTCACAACGAGCTGATGCTTCTGTCGCAATATTTTGTGTTTGACACTATATGAAAACTACAAAAAATGTGAAAAATACAGACTAATGATACGAAACTTTTATGGTGTTTATTTTTGTCCTGTTTTACAGTTTGATAGTTGTGGTCACTATGAATGAAAATATATTGCACTGGAACATCATGAGGTGATTGAAGAATGACAGAATTATCATTGTTTCAGTGAACGATCGCTCTGTTAGAAACTCCAGATGTAGAACTTTCTCTCTCCATACGCTTGCCTCTCCGTCTTTCTGCTGGTTGTCATTATTTGTCATTAGCTCAACCCTCTCTCGTCCCATTATGTTGCCATGGCAAACGTCCAGCCCCTGCCTGTTGGCATGGTGATAAATCACAGTGCGTTAGGTGGGGGTGGGGGTGGGGGGGGCATTAAGAGTTTTGCATATGCAAATCACACGCTGAGTGTATTCAGGTCAAACTGACCCGGTGAAAGAGTTACTCTGTAAATCACACACAGTCTGACCTCAAACATCAGCTCACCTTCACAAGGACAAATAAACATCTGTGAGTTCTGGTGATCATTATGCTAAATGTTACAAACATTACATACTGTATGTACATGATGTGACCATACACAGACTGATGTTTAAAGCTGAAGTTTCTGGATGATTTAGTGTCCTTTTCTTGTGTTCTATATACGAGGAATATTTCTGAGCCTCATGAATTTATAATTGCGAGATATTTTTACAGTGCTGGCTTTTGGGACTCATCTGATCTAAATACGCGCTTCAGATTTCACCAAGGCTTTCCAAAATGAAGTCCAACCGCAGATTTGATTTCAGTTGGTTTATTCACATTTCTGCACATTTGAATCACACAGCTGACCAACCAATATAAACATCGACATGAGCGAGTAAGCTCATCTCTAAACTACTACACTTATTCATAAACCACCGAAACGTCAGTTTGGTAACACTCGAATCGCGTTACATAGAAGTCTATAACACCTTGGTTTTCTTCAGAACAAAGAGATATTTTTCATTTTTGTGTGATCGCTTCACACAGAGCATCGTCATATATTGCACGCAAACAGACTTAACGAATCTAGCATGTGCGGAAATAAAGTAGTCATATAATGTAATATGGTAACACATTTACAATTTAAATATACAGTAACACTAACTCTTGAATTTTGCATCAATTTCTCAAATCATGTGAAAAGATTGAATTGGCTGAAACAGGATTCTCTTAAAAACATTTCCAGAGTTACATTTTGGTCATTCAGGGATATATTATATACATTGTGTTACACACGTTACATGATTGTGTTTCTATAGAGTTACGGTAACGCCGTCGCTGTCCTGTGATATCACTCACCCTTTGACCTTTACACTATAAATGCTGCTAGAGGTCACCTCGGACGCTGACCTAAGAATGGTGGGTGTGTCTGTCAGTCAAACCCAGGCATGGATGTCCCGCCTCCAGCCCAAGCCCCGCCCTTGGTACCGAGCTTCTGTGATTGGCTGAAAATATAAGAGAAGGTGGAGCCGCCTGAGAAGAGCGCAGAACGTGGCAGCAGCAACCACAACCAGCGGAGACATCATGACAAAGCCCAGGATGATGAGGGCAGAGCAACTGTTGTCATCAAGGTAATGGCAGAGAGCAGCCTGAGAAGCCACAACCTGTAAAAACACAACCTGAACATTAGAACATTGTGTGTTTGTGGGCATTTGCGTGTGTCTGTGGGCATATATGTGTGTTTGTGGGTGTGTTTGTGGGCGTATGCGTGTCTGTGGGCATATCTGTTTGTATGCGGGTGTATGTGGGCATATCTGTGTGTTTGTATGCGGGTGTATGTGGGCATATCTGTGTGTCTGTGGGTGTATGCGGGCATATCTGCGTGTCTGTGGGTGTATGCGGGTGTATGTGGGCATATCTGTGTGTCTGTGGGTGTATGTGAGCATATCTGTGTGTTTGCGGGTGTATGTGGGCATATCTGTGTGTCTGTGGGTGTATGTGGGCATATCTGTGTGTCTGTGGGTGTATGCGGGTATATGTGGGCATATCTGTGTGTCTGTGGGTGTATGTGGGCATATCTGCGTGTCTGCCACACACCCCAGCAGCAGCAGGACATTCCACAGCAGCAGAAGCAGTGTCCACAGCACACATCCGCAGTGGCCCCGCCGGGCCCCCCAGACCCCGCCGTCACACTGAGCCGGAGGAGGCGGCAGCATCCGGATCCCGTCACCCACGTCAAAGTCTTCATCACCTCCACCATCATCTAAAAGCACCGTCATTCCACACATCCTAAATAAACACATTATACATTTAATATAACATATACGTATAATATGATATATCAAATATATAAAATATATACTTATATAACTTAATAAAAGTCTATTTGAATTGACTTGATTCACACTTCACATCAGGCCCGGATTGCCTAATCGGGAGGATTCCCGGTGGGCCGGTCTATTTTTTGGCCGCGAGGGCCGGTGTTGTCATGCCACTGGGTTGAACTATGCTGTTTCTAGGCTGCCTGCACTCATAGCAGCCCCACTCTTTTTATTTATTTTCTCGCAGGCCATATTATTATTTT